AGTATGCATCATTTATTGAATAAATAAAATGACGACATTTATTCGTTTTATATAGCTCTCTTCTTCATTTCTTCGTCCAATGAATTCAACAATGTCTGTTAACAATTCATCTATGATAATGATGGAATCATGGTTTATTCCTATAGATATAATCATGATTGTGTTATATATTTTTGCTATTTTATTTGCTCTATTCTTTTTATATCTAATAATTTCTGATAAAGTATGTCGAACAGTCCCAATGATGTTTGTTACCAATACATGCTTAAGTGTAGTTGTACTTGGAATTAATTGGCTTAATATGTCTATATTTACATTAAAAAATGATCTTCAACAAATTCAATTCCAAGATTACCTTTGTAATTTTCGAGCTTACCTTACCAATGTTTCATACAGTACAATGAATTATACTTTTGCATTAGAAGCTTTCTATCGATATGTTATTGTTGTTTATCCAACTCGTTTATTCTGGAAATCAGCACGAAATCAATTGGTGTTTATTTGCTTAACCTGGATGTTGAGTCTGGTATATATTATTCCATTTATCCTCGCAAACGACGTGGTGTATAATGTGCCGAATCAAATCTGTCAGGCACCTCTTCGATTTTGTTTTTCAATAATTTATATGGCAATATGCAGCTATCTTATTCCCAATTCGATGATTATATTTATCTATTTTAAGTTAGTTGGATATGTCCGGCAAGCGGGTAAACGTGCGACACCTGCAAATATTTTAAGTCGTGCCCAACGACAATTGAAAATGCTTCGACGTACGGTTATACTTGTAAGTATTTTGCTCACATTTGGTTTACCTTATTTTCTCTTTATTCTAATGTCATTTTTCATTAATATATACAAATATCATTTTCGAATTAGTTATCTATTTGCCACTGTAGCATTACCATTAATGATGATTGCTTTGTTGCAATTCACAGATCCACTTAAAGCATCTTTAAATAAATTAATCAATAAACGACCGAATATGATAATGGCAGCTGTAGCATGATTGAACAGAAATCTAACATTTTAATTCATATTGTATTGTATTGTATTGTTGTTGTGCCTAAAGACAAAATCTTATAAAATATCTTTGAATTTATATTTCATCAATAAAATATTCATGTAAATAAATAAATAGTTGGAAAAACTAATTAAAGGCATTGCTGTGATATCTTTAGTAAAGAAAAATACTTTATTTTAACTATTTTTAATCGTTTAAGTTGCATATGGATTACATCAAAAATTCTTCTGTTGATTTCTTTAAATAAATGATTAAGAACAGACTTTGTAGTTTTTAAATCATTCTCATTTTCTTCATTGATTGCTTGTTTCATATATGATGAAAAGAAAATTCGTTCATAATCATTATTCGCATGAAAATATTTTCCAAACATTTCTAATCTCTCATAGATTTGGTGACAGAAGTTTAGATTTTGTTAGGGTCGATAATGATACATTCCGATACAAAACGATGATTTTAAATGTTTTTTGTATAGTCTTATTGATTTAGAACATCTGTCAGGATACAAGCTCCAAAATTTCAGTACCAAGAAGGATAATCTTTTTCTCCGTTCTGTGACATACTATCAGTGACACTGCTACTCCATAGAATCTATACATATCAGAGCGTACATCTGTGTCGACAATATGTAACATGATACTTTTTCTTCTCTTGTAAGTTAGCATTTCTAATTAGATTTGAATAAAGTATTAAATTAGCCCTTGAAATCATTTTGTCGAACTAAAGATATTCATTCTCTGCCGGTACGGCTAGCCTTACCTGTTCCCTGCCCATGTCGATTTTGAGGAGATGATCTTGTGGACATGATCGATTTGATGTTCTAAATCAATAAGATTATATAAAGAACATTTAAAATCATCGTTTTGTATTGGAATGTATCATTACCGACAC